ATATGGCAGCATGCATGATGATTTCATAGAAACGCTCTAATATACACTAGATGTGTTTGTTTTGCTTGCCTTACCTTAGAGGTCTGAGCTGGTTTCACTGGAAAAGATATTTACATCGGCAGCAATGTTTGTGGTTAGAAATAAGAAGTGCTACTATAAAAAAAAAAAATGAGGAAGAATCTTAAATCATCCTGTAAAAGAAACAAATCTTTCCTCACAAAGAAGGTGGCCTTCATGATGATGGTCTCTGACCTTGTAGCAATTCATTTTGCACACACTGACCTTTGCAGAACTGCACAAGCAATGTGAAAACATCTTGTTTTCTGCCCTAGCCAAGTTAGTGTTCTGAAAACACAATTCAAGGTTACTGTAATTCAAATCTCTTCCACTGGCTTTGTATTAGGTCGATAATTCTGCAGTCAGTTATATCATGAACCTTGTTAAACTGCACTAAAAGTGTGACTGAGGTTACACCCTACATGAAGAACAACCACAAAAATGATACTTAAAAGACACACTGAGACTTTATTTGGAAGTGAAATTACTTATTCCATAGAACAATAACAATCTTTCTTTCAGAGTAATCAGTGAAAGATGCACCTCATGTCAAATCCCTTTCATTTTTATACACTTATTTCCCTCAAAGGCAAATGTTTGGCATGAAAGGACAAGCATGACTTCAGTAATTATAATAAAAACTTGACTAGCAATTACTTTGAGTTTATACCATAAATAAAATATAAATATAGGAGATCTGAGACAAGCTTAACAAATGCTTAGAATCTGTTGCATTTACAAGTAGGATTAGGGTGGGTTTTTTTGCTTCAAGTAAAGTACATAGAGCATGTATTCTAGCACTGCATCATTTGCAGTAAACACCACATACACCACACAGTGTTTGCACGCAGGTTTTGCCGTTCCAGTTCCGACAACCAATCTTCTGTATTGCCATGTACAGTATGGTGAAAAGGATTAACAACTCAATTCAGAAGTGGGGTTTTTTCTGTAATAAGGGGACTACAGTGTTTCATACTCTTACAATTAAAGCAAGCAGTACTAAATGGCAAATTTTAAAACTAAAATAAGAAATATTGAATGGTAAACTTCACAAATTATCAATTTTAAAGTGAAGGAAAAAAAAGGATAACCAAAATTTATCACACTTTTCTAATAAAATGCTTTTGAAGTTGTTCATCTGCTTATCCACACATGTATAGAACTTACTAGGGAAGCTAAAGCAGCCAGACGTGTTGTTTTGCAAGTTATCAGATTGTATAGAAATTTCTAAGATTTGGCAAAATGAACTGATTCTGCTGTACCATACAGCTCAGCAGAGATAAATATCATTAATGACCCATTAATCTCTCTTCTTTCGTATAGGTGAAGTTTTCAGTAGACATTATTTACGCCACAGGACAATAAGACTTCTCTGAGAAGTAGTTAGCAAGGAAGCAGGTAGATGCATATCTAATGCTAACAGTGGCTGTGTCGGTAGCATAGCACTGATTCACTTACCATCCTCATTCCCAGAAGCACCATCAATACTCTGACTGACTACTTCAGAAGCTTCCTCAAAATAGCTTCATTGAAAAATGCTGTCTGACATAAACTCCCATTTATTTTTTACATCAAAGTGGCAGTTTAATTAACAATTGCTTCTGGTAGAAGTTTGATCTTAAAACCAGCTGTAATTGGTTTGTGTGAAAACCTTTAGGTAGTGGAGGGGCTACAGGAGTTGCTTCTGTGAGAAGATTCCAGAAGCTTCCCCTGTGTCTGATAGAGCCAATGCCAGCAAGGTCCAAGATGGACCTGCCACTGTCCAAGGCCGAGCCCATCAGCACTGATGGAAGCACTGTTGGAATAACATTGTAAAGAAGGGTGGAAAGCCCACGCTGGAGCAGGCTTCTGGCAGGACCTCCATGGAGAGAGGAGCTCACTCTGGAGCAGGTTTGCTCCAAGAGTTAAAAAGCCTGGCCTTCTAGGGATGTCTACCCTGATAATTTTAAGCATTATTTGTTGATGTTTTTATTTAATTTCTGTCATAATACGATTAGTAAAAAGTAAAATTATATATGCAGAAATAATGGTCATAATTGCTAATATTCCTTAATACTGAAAGTAAGGGAGACCAAATGGAATGATGAATGCTATACAATTGAAAAAAAAAGTAGAAAAATCTGACAGACTTTGTCTTTAAAGCTCAAAGAACACATCAGGGAACAGTATATTAATCAGATGCTCTCTCTTGAATTAAAAACAGTCACATATGCAAGTCAAATTTGGCAAAGCAGCTTACACTTAATGAAAGAGAGAGTTTGACAATACTGACACATTTTAAGACAACATTTTCAAAATAAGGCATTTCACTCTGAAAAGTCCAAATGTTTCCTTTTTGACACTTTCTTTGTAAAACATTTCAACTTTTCAATAGATATGTCAGCAGGTTGAATTCCTCCCACAATGTTTTTAGAAGTCAGAGTCATAGAGAAAGGAAAATATATTATCCAATCCCTCATCCTATACTCAAATCAAATGCAATAAACACTTAGAGAGAGAATGGAACATGAGGAGAATATAACCCTCAGGTCATAAGTCTTACATTATTACCAAAAATATCAAATCAGAGCCCTGTGGCCTTTTTGTGGAAGTCAATTCTCACTTTTAGAATGTACCTCCTTCCCAAGTTACCACTTCTGCGATTAAAATCTTCTTGTCTTAGTAAACAAGTATAGAAATCTCAAATTATAGGTTGCAGAGAAGAAAGGAAGAAAGTATATTTTTCTTACTATCTTGACAACATATATTGAGGAAAAAAAATTAATAATTAGATTTTGGTTCACCTCCTAAACCAACATACATATCTTAAAAATTGTTTCCCTTTGTTTCTCAAAATAGCTTACACCCATTTTGATTCACACAAAACTGTGCCCCAAACACACTATACATTTTGGGAAATAAAAAAAAATTTAAAAAAAATCCAGAATGCTGTAATAAAGCTGAAAACTCATTTTCAGAAACTTGTAGTAAAAGTCAAAGGAACCCAGAGCTTGGATTAACAAAACTGCCAGAGGCAGCAACAGCAGTGGTAATAGCTCTTTTTACCCCATCAAGCCTGCTGTTTCACTCTGCAGGGACAGGCTAAATACCACCAACAGTAAAACACTGCCAACAGATACTGACAGCAACATATCCTACGACACCTGTGTTGATCATACTCAAAAAACCCCACACAGCATCTACCACACGATTAAAGTTATACAGTGTCACTCTGAAGGCATAGAACATCTGCTCAAAATTAAGCTTTATTAAGGAAAGGAAATATAGGACAAAACTACCCATGCATCAGATTCCTTACCAACAGGAATAAAATTATTTTCAGCTACCAAGACTCCCGTAGTGGAAATACATACAACAAAATGCAAGTTACTGCTCATCACTTCCTAAGCTGATGCTATAACTGTGGTATGAGAATATGGATGTGGAGATGCGTGCAAGTCTCATGGAAAACACAACTTGCAATATTTTCTTCGAATGTGTTCTGTTTGGAGCCAGACTATGTTACTAAAATCTCACTAAAGACATGTCACTTTTGATTTAAGTGACAGGATGTAATCTGATGGAAATGAAATAGAGATCTCACATAAAAGCAAAACACTCCTTAGGAGAATAAATTAACGCAAAAGAGATCATGTTTAGGATTATCCATTCACATCATGGCACAATGAAGGGCAAAGTGTACGAAATGCAGTACAAGTGGATGAAGTGTTCCAGTACATCACCTATTAAGCATTCCTACTGATCTTCAGAAGAGCAGAGAAGTTCAAACAAAACATGGACATACGAATGTTTATATATATTCCAGTTAAACACTGACTCCTCTAATTTACAAATAGATATTGAGATAGAACACAAACGTCACACCTAGGATTTAGAAAGCCTGAAAGAATTTTCTCCTTAAAACCACAGAACTCCTATTATATTCCTGTTAAAAAAAGCATTCAAGTCAAAGCCTCCTTAAGTTAAGGGACCACTACTTGGGTGACATGCTCTAATCAGCATGCTCCAGTTTGCACATTCATGTAATATTGTCTTTCTGATGGGCAGAGATTTCTTAAGACAGATGGCACACTTACTGTTACTCCCGAGAACACATGCTAAAACTACTTTATTTTGCATATGCACAGATGATAGGCCAAGACAGACATTAACAGTTCTCACAAACCTTTGCACAAGAGGAGAAACAAAACACTGAAAAAAGGAGTCCAAGAGGATGTCCACTGAAGGACTATTTCTTCATCTACCACTCAGGTCCAAAATCCCACCAATCTTCACTCAAAACATCACTGACAACCAAAAAAATAATAAATAAATAGGGAGAGCAAAACACTCACCTCAGATGTTAAACAGACTACAGGCGATGTGTGGAACAAAGGACAGAGTTATTTGAAGACTGAAGACTGACTTGCTTATGAGAGAATCATTGGTATGGTAGAAGTTGTGTTGATGACATGGAAAAAAAGTCACCTTTACAAGCCCAATGTCAAAAAATCTCAAGGGATACTGACACATTAAAAAAAAAATAGAAGTCAAATCATCACTTCAGCCTGCACAAAAAAAAAAATTAATAACAAAGGCTCCAGAATTATTATTAGCCTGATTAAGACCCAGATATTCCAGAAAGTAGATGGAAAGATGGCTGCTCCTGTAAATAAGCACCAGCTGTGAAAACCCTAGACTAAACCCAAAAAAATGCAGCTCTGAAGTTGAATGACTCCATATGTTCTGGCATTGGTGGAAGAGTGCAGCAGGTGGCAATAATACAGGTGTTTCATTGTACAGCTTTGAGGGGTTTCTTTGGCAGCTTCAATCAAAGAAGCAACCAGTTGCTTACCCTTACTGATGCCTAAAAAATACAAAGCAGTGATACATGACTAGCAAAGGAAGGCAGAAGGAGCTGACAGTTTAATAAACTGTTCTAATTCACGACAGCGCTACAAACGAATTTTGCATGGCCACCTTTATTAAGAACACTAAAGAACATGTTATTGCCAGGCAACAACCAGCATGGAAAATAATGTGATCATAGCAATACAGGAAAACTGAATACTTCAGTCTTCAGTTAGAAAAATTAATAACTACTATTTGTGGAAACAAAACTCTTCCAATAGAAAAACATAGGTAAATAAATCATACCAGAATTAAACACAAGTACAATAATAGGTCTTGATTGTTGCCAGAGCCTTTACTACTTTCCCATGGATTTTTGTCTCAAGAAAACATTAGCAGCTTTTCTCAAAGTAAAAGAAAATAGGAAAATAAAGTATTAAAAACACTTTTACAAATACCAGCAGAACTCACAAAATGTCATTAAAACATGCACCAACTCTTTAGTATATTTCATTTTCTTATAATCTTTCTTTCTTCTTTCTCTGAAAAAAATCACATTCTATGTCCATACCAGTAACATCACTACCATTAGACAGCAAGTAATGAAAAGCAATTCAGGAAGTATTATACCCACGCATGTTTGTTCATATTATCTATCTATTTTTATACAAATATACATATTTATGCTTTATATCACTGTTGTGTAATGGGAACTATATATGTCTTTGTAATAAGAATGCATTTAAAAGTGGGTAGACACAAGGCTCTAACAGGACCCTCCCTAGGAGTATAAAACTGCACTGGCTTTGAAATAATTGGAATTAGATGGTAACAGAATGACTTAACAAAACTGCCTATAACTGATAGTATTGGTGGAGCTTCCTTTAAAAAGTATGTGAGTTCACAGCAAAAACAGCCCATTGCAGTTGCATCACCTTTTGAAATCAAGTAGCAGAATTGGTCGCTCTAATACTTTATATTGTACGGCTACATATGCAATGACTGATGTATTAAGGGAACTGCATTTCGCTATTTGTTCTAAATTTCTGCTACTGGTATTTCATTGGTCTAGTTATCTCCCCTAAGGGACTTGCTGTTTAATCTCAATGCAGCAGTTTCCCCGCAAAAGTCATTGTGACCAAAAAAGTCACCCCTCAGAGCAGGAGGTTGGTTTGGTGTCAGCCAAGAGTCTCTCCCAGCTTCTGTGCTTCTGTGCCCGTTCTGCTTTCCTCGTATTAAAGCCAAGGTAGCCTCTATTCCCTCCACCATGCAGGCCATTACTTCAGATGATCACCAGCATTCCTATTTCAGAGGAAATTTTGTGAAAAAGCAATTATAACCCATAGCTTGTACTTTCATAGCAATAGGAGAAAGCAGTTGCGTCTACTTTGAAATTCAAAAAACACCAAGTTGTTATGAATGAACACACTATTGAAGTCTTTTCCAGGACATCTGTCTCTTTCTTCTTATTAAAAAAAAAAAAAAAAAAAAAAAAAAAAGAAGAAGGAAAAAAAGAAAGAAAACCAAACAATGCCAATGTTTTAGGCTGAGGTGCCAGCTGTTCCTTATGTTCCAAAAACAATGCCAAACCTGCCACTGTGAGATTTATTACTGAGGTTTTGTGTAAAGTGGCAATTTGTTCCAGGGGCACAATTATTCCTATTAAGTTTTCTTCGTTTTTCTAAATACTCATTTTTAGATGAGGTCACTCTTCTTATCATTACCTGTAGAGACTAGATATTTGGCAGAATTATTCCATATTGTTTATTTTATAAAGCACATATTTATATTTTATAAAGCAAATATTTCTGTAACTGTAGCTATGTTTTCACCTGTGTTAGTTTTTTGAAGGGAGCAGAGCAATTGGCAAAGCCACTGTTTTTAGAGAAAAGCAGTTTGGTTAGGCAAAAGTTCAAGCCGTGTACAGGAGTGCCTCCCACCACAGTAGCAAGGCAAAACCTGTGACTTTGCAAGAAAAAGATCAATTTTCTTCCCATTTCTCCATCTATATCTTCATGAATGACCAGCTCAGAGGTCTTCAAACACACCTTTGACCAATCCCATATCTCACATCCAACTTTGCTTCCTTCATCTCAGTTACAACACAAACATGGTGAGTTCTATGGAGAGTTAATTATCTAATAGCAAGATCTTGGGGCCCTTTCACTATATCTATGTATGTATGTTCCACAGCAACTGTCAAATACATGGAACTAATCCCTAACAAGTCTCAAGTATCTATTCACAAGCAATCTGGTCACTCCATGAGTACATACTCCAAGAACCAGAATCTTATTTAGAGTAATATGAAAACCTACCAAAACTAAAGTTGCTAATTCTGGCTCCTGAATATTTTCACGTGTCCTGCTGTTTTTAAGAAAGCTTCTGTAGCAATTTTTGGTTCTCAAGCTTCTTTCTACTGGACAAATTCATAACATTTCAGGAGTTTCCCAAGTGACCTGTCTTTCTAATTTCCACAATAAACAGCACTGTTTTTTGTGTTTGGTCTGGCTGGGTTGAAGCTAATTTCCTTCAATAGTACCCAATGTGGAGCTGTGTTTTACATTCACAGCCAAAAAAATGTTGATAACACAACAGTGTTCTAGAAGCTGTCTAAAAGCACTTGCACAGCATGAAAGCCACCTCAGTTTTCTACTCTGCCACCTCAAGGGAGTAGGCTAGGGTTAGGCAAGAGGTTGTGAGGGGGCACAGCCAGGACAGCTGACTCAAGTTGATCAAATCAATGGTCCATACCATATAATATCATACTGAGCCATAAAACTGGCAGAGGCCAGTTGTACCAAAGTAGTCTTTGCTCAAAGACTGGCTGGGCACTGGTCTGCCAGCAGGAGGTGGTAAGTGACACCTGGGGTTTGGGTTTTTTTTCCCTTCATTTATTAAATTGTCTTTATCTCAGCCCTTTACCTCTTGCTTTTGCCCATCCTGCTATGGGCAAGTGACTGCATGGGATTTTAACTGCTGGCCAGGGTCAATCCACCCCTTCTCAATTTTCAAACTGAGAGAATTGTTTTTTCCAGAGATCAAACCTGCAAGACTTCATGGAAATAATCAGCTTAACAGACACTAACCTCATAAGTCAGTATTTGTTGGTGTACATTTCTCCGTAAAACACTGGCACAAGCTTAGGGTAAAAAAGCAAACGTTTATTTCAGCAGACACCTGATCCTGATCTGCACAGCTGTCTATGGTAAAAACTCAAACTACTGCTGTGACAGTCAGCAAATAGGCATCAGACCCTGGAATAAGTGGGGATAACACCAGCTCAAATCTTTGGAGGTCCTTCTGCTTAAATCCCAGGTTGTATCTAACCAATTTCAGGAAAGGACTTCTCACCTGAACTCATGACATGCAATGCTGTCACTGAAACAACTCAAGCTAGATAAGGAAACCATTTCAAGACTACCTATGTGAGGCTCTGTGATTAATATTTTCCATATTTGCTGCAGTATATCTCCTCGCTTAAAATGTGAATATCTGAGAAACATTTGCTATGTCATACTTAAAACATCAAAACCATACATAGCATTAGGATGAGTATATCAATATCAATACTATTTTCAACTTAGCATATATTATTCATACAGACTTCACTTCAATAAAAGGGTGACTATTACATGCAGTGCTTACTTTACTTACAATGCTTCCAAGAAAAGGGATCAAAACGGGATATCAGCATGTGTTCTGGAAAAAAAATAAAAAATAAAAGACAGATCCCACAGTTGTCAGGTAAGTCACCATGACTTCTTTCTGGCTTCAGCATCTTTACATTATTTGTTATTTAAAATCAGGTTTTCCATCAGAAACTGCATATTTCTGGGCAGTGAAAATTTCAGGAGCTTTTTGGATTTATAGGCATACACATACCAACAATCATTTGAACAATCTCTTGCAGCAATAGAGCTTGGGGGGGGGGGGGGGTTTGCTTTGTTTTGTTTTTTTTTTAAAAAAGACACACAAAAACATATCACAGGCTGCTTTTTACTTGTATTGTTTTTATAACTCTGTTACTAATTATGAGAAAGACATTTAAGAATACGCTCAATTTTCTTCATCAAACACTAAGCTCTTAGTCTGCTGCAAAATGAAAATGCTTGACAGAAATATATTATTTACTGAATGAGATATCTACAGCATTTGGCATTTATAGATATATTTACCCCGGAAAACCAGATGCATCTTCCAGACCATCTATCACTTCTGTCCACAGTGCAGAGACCAGCCTTCCTATTGCTCCATCTCTAGGTCAATAATAACATCCCTATCTGTAAAATAACCAAAAACTCCTGAAGATTGGGAGTCATATTTTAAATGCCATAAATAACATTAGCCCCTTGTCATCTTTTGCAAAGTATGTACTCCCATGCTGTAATAAGGGTGTTAATATTATGAAGCTATATAAAAATTAATTTTGCATTTTAAAGAGTTTAGTTGAAACAAACATACATAATGAACCATATACTAAGCCTTTATCAGCTGATATGGAACAATTTCTTGCACTGGCAATAAACAAGCCAAGCAGTACGCATTTAATTACCTGTGATCCTGTTTGTTGCGCATACTTCATTCTTTATTTACAAAAAAATCTACACATCAAATTAATTCTGGTTCATGATGCACTACACAAGCTAAATATGTAGAATATATACACATATACATAGTGTGCTGGTTTGATGTTCCTCTATACATATTTTAACTACTCAGACATGAATGAAATATAAAAATGTAATATAGTTTTAAACTAGCAAATAATTCTGCTTTAATTAGCTTTTCTGGTAACTCTTAGTGGTTTAATATCACATAAATATTGTTCCACAGCATTGTTTTTGAAAACTGGCAAAGCCTGACTGATTAAATTTCCCACAAAACCCCTCAGTATCAATTAAGTACAGAAAAATATGTTCAAGTCATTTAAAGTAAGAAAGGGCTACCCTAAGTGTGCTACATTATCTGACCTGTAGTGACTTTAACACACTTGTTTCTTCTGCAACCATGACATATGGTTGCTTCTTTCATGTCAATTATTTCCAACAGCTATGCAACTTGAAATCACATAAACTTCAGACAAGAAAAATCACACATGGAGGTCAAAAAGAGTATCTGATCCATAACACCATTATGGGGTCATACGAGTTCCTGATTGGGGAATTTGTAAAGAGGCAGCCAGTCTCAAGAACAACTAATGGATTCTATGTGAATTTTCACAAAATCACAGCAGGGTTGAGGCTGGAAGGCACCTCTGGAAATCATATGCTCCAGACTCCTGCTCAAGCAGAGCCACCTAGACACGGTTGCCCAAGACTATGTCCAGGTGGCTTTGGAATACCACCAATGATGGAGACTAAACAATACCCCCAAGCAACCTGCGCCAGTGTTTGATCATCCTCACAGTCAAAAAGCATCTCTTGATGTTCAGAGTGAGTCACCTGTGTTGCAGTTTGTGCCAGTTGCCTCTGATCCTGACACTGAAAAGAGCCTGACTCCATCCTCTTTTCACCCTCCTGTCAAGTATTTATATCCATTGCTAAGATTCCCCTGAGCCTTCTCTTCTGCAGGCTGAACAGTCCCAGCTCTCTCAGCCTTTCCTGTGAAATGCTCCAGTCCCTTAATCATCTTCTTGGACCTTCTTTGGGCTCTCACTAGTATGTCCATGTCTCTCTTGTACTGGGGAGCACAGAACTGGACCAAGCACTCCAGATGTGACCACACCACTGATAAATAAATTAGAAGGACAACCTTTGTGGACTTGCTGGCAATGTTTTTCCTAAGGCAGCCCAGGATATCATTAACCTTCATGGTAAGGACACTTTGCTGACCCATGTTCCACTTGGCATCCATCAGGGCCCCCACACCATAATATAGTTCTGAGTCTCTACCTCAAATCCATCATAGGCAACCCTTTCATTATCATTCTGAGTCTCATTTCACCTCAATCCATAACATTTGTTGTTTCCATGGAACATTAAAACCATATGTTCTTTTGCAAGCAACTAATACCATGATGTCTAGTCACTTAGTTGGATAAGCACAGCAACGATTTACAATTTCAGTATTACTGACTAAATTTAGATCAATTTGGCACAAAATTTGGATCAATTTGGCACTAAAATGATCAACAATCCTGAAGTAGGCTACCAAATTCTGATCCTTCTAAATCGTTAAAAGTGTGACAGCCAATTCCCCTATAGGACATTTATCTTAAGTCCTTGTTTTTTCCCTAAATTCCTTTAGTTCTATTATAGGAAATCAGAGGAGGTGTCAAACCCTGAGGTATTAATTAAAGTAAGACAAATAAGGGTAGCTATGATATGATGTCAGTTATTTAAGCCTAGTACTTTTGTTGCAAAAGCTTGGCTCTCTCAAGCTACTTGTCAACAAACTAACAAAGCAAGAAGCTCAGGAAATTGCTTTGCTTCCAAGCTTCTTTTGCACCACAAGTACTTGCACCCTATTTATAACATTGAATTAGGTAAATGATTTTATACTGAGTAGAGGCAGTAATATATTAGCTGAGAAGACTGGGCACAGAGGGAAGATAATTTTAACTTGCCAATCCTTGCTTCCAAACTTACTAACGGTTTTCTCAGGCATTTACTATCGTTTCTGAATCCAGCAAAGTTATAGATTACAAATTAAAATGATGGCCCACATTTTCTTCTTGACACAAAGCAGTGGTATTTCTAATCTATACAGAAAATGTTGGTATAAATTTACAGCATTTTGCAACTCACTTGGCAAAATACAGACCACGTTCTGAATCCCTCTTCTAAAAAGCAGTTTCTCATCCTTGAGTGGGCTGAAGATTTTAATTTTCATCTCCTCTGTTAATTAAGCACTAATGAAAATAAGTAGCAAAAAGCCAGATTTTGAGAGCTCTTCAGGAGCAATCACACACAGAACAGTTGATGAATGAAGTATTAATAATCTTTTAGTATAAAGCAGTAAAGAAAAAAAAATGTTTTCTAAAATGTCAGCAAAACCAGCATATAAAACTGTATAGTTGCTTATACATACTGAAATCAACAGTATTGAACATTTGGAAACCAGGAAAAGGCTTGAAAAGACATCTAAAAATATTTAAATGTCAGGGTGCAAATAAAAATAAATCTCCAGTGACTCCCTACATGGTAGACTAACAAAAGTACTGAAGTGTTACATGCGGTTCAATTGTGAAGCATAAATGCAACCTGGTAAACACCGAAGTTGCACACAGAGAAAGCCATCATGTAGTCTTCCCATCATGTTGTCCACCAGAGCATTTGCTGCAAGTATTTATCTGCTGATACAACAGTTTCTTTTAAAAGCAGCAGTAGATTTACATTGAAGATTACAGTTCTTAAAGTTCTTAAAGTGATGTACACTTCACTTGACAACATGAGAGAAAAACATCAGTCTAGGAATCACAGGAGTAAGTGGTAACACTCACTTTCACGAACAAAACCAATGACAGATCACTATGGTTTTCTATAAAACTAGAGGGAAACCAGCCAAGACAGATGTTACTACCAGAAAAAAAATATGCAATAAAACCCTTCACACCTATATATGTTTCCTTTCAAACTGCTTCTACTTTTTGGTCTTGGATGCTAGGCTTTCAGGTTGGGTTTTCTTCAGAGTTTGGGGAAAATATTTAGGCAAAGTGGGTGAAAGGACAGAATACTTCAGTACCTAACTAATTCCTTACTTAAGGCAGGGAGGCTGCAGATTGACATAAAAACCCAACCCCAACCAAAAAGCCTGTTGCTTTCACCTTAAGCCACTGCTTTAGAATATCATACCTCTGATTAAATGCTCAAAAGTATAGTTACTGGACACAAGTACACATTCTTCACACTGTAATCAAAAAGGTATTTACAATGGAAACTTATGCAGTTTAAGCATCAGAAACAGAAATGATGTTATTTATAAGTAGCAAGCTGAGACTATTTCATTTAGAAAACAAATACCTACAGCTAAAGAAAAGTTATACAAATTCTGTCATGCAGCTCCAGCTTAGTAAATAGCTAATACATCGGCGTAATACATAGGCAAGCAAAAATTCCTTCTTATTTTAGTGCTTAAATTACAACTAGAATTTGCAGGAGAATGGCCAAAAGCTGGAAGTTAAACAGGCAAAGAGGCAAAAATATATAAGGACCCTCAACCAAAAAATTGATCTAAACAAAGAATAGCAAAACTAGTTACATGAGGATTTCCCTGGTTTGCTTCTCTCTGTCAACTACAGAATTAATAGCATACGATTTGCATGACTTATGTGTACTTTGATTTACAAGATACTGTTGCTTTCCCAGCCACAGTAGCTTCACAAAAGCATTTCTTCTCTTTAGAAGAAACATACTTATATACATACTTATATACTATATACATACTCACACATATATATAGTTCAAAAGGTCATATACAACATCAACTTGCTAAAAGCCACTAGCACATTGACAACGTTAATAGTTTCTCTAAATCCCTTTAAGTTCTACATCACACTCTCCATGACAACATGACAATTCTGAAAAATTACATTTTATTAAAAAAAAAAAAAAAAGGTCATTCCTCTGACATTTGGAATTCACAACCAGATTAGATTTAATTCTTTCTGCTCGTCTCTAGGGCCCAGTATCTAACAGTCTGATTCAGGCCACTGCAGAGACAAGGTGCTGACACAAAATTCAATTCAGAATACAAACACAGAATTTATTCTAGCACATTAGTCTCTATAACCCCCTAGATATTCAAATAAACCCTCACTGATCAGTTATATAACATTTGAATTCAAAAAATTTATATACATAGAAAACTGGAACAGACGTGACTGAGAGTTTCTACTGTAAATTCATGGGAATTCAGGCCTGGCCTTTAAAGATCTGT